CCCAGAGGCAGGCTCTCAAGTCGGACACGAACTCATCCACCAGCTGAGTGATATCGACTTGGCCGAACTCCTCCGTGCCATGCTCAGGGAAAACCATTCAATACTGCCTTCATCTGTCTTACGAGTCCAGTGTGACGGGGTAGGGCATGTCCAACCTCCTTCACACAATGTGGCAATCATTGCTGAGACTGGTTCCAGGACTCGCCACCACCGAACTTTACCCTGGACCAGTACATGCCGTAATACTGTATCCCACGCACTGCTGATTGGACAATGCAATCCTGGCCGTTGGAACCAAAGCGTGAGCCATTCCCAGATCAGCTGCCTAGGGAGCTCCAAGCCTGGGTCCTTGGTGCCCATCGTCAGCTCCAGCACCGATGTAAGACAGCGTCCACGTTCCACACCTCCAATGGCCGAGGCCGCTTGGTCAGCCGACTCGGTGGTACCCTCAAGACCTGGTGCCCATACTTACCCTGCGGCTTGACCCCAGTCGCCCATAACTCTTTACAGGCTCGTCGAACTCTGGGGCCAAGCCTGCGTAACCTGAGAACGCGCGCATGTCGTCTATCCGCTGCTTTCTTGCGTTGGCTTGATTTCTTGCCAACCCTCGATCTGCCTGAGCTTACGTCAATGCCCAAGTCCGTAGCAGCCAGCTTGTAATGAACAGGAATGTCTAGCTGCCTCAGAGACCTGGCCACACGCTGCCCCACCCAACTGTTTGGAAGAGGCGATGAGGTGTGTCTTGTCCGAGATTACCAGCCTGGCCTCTTGGAACGCCTGCTGGAACTCAACGCCCACCGTCATCTGCGCAGCGACATCATCTTCATGATCATATTCAGCCCTAGTGATCGTATTATCGATGTAAGTGGCGAGCATCGGCTTCGGCGCCCTGCGGTGGACGCGCTCAAGGATTGGATGTAGAAATACTTTCGCCAGCTGAACTCCTTTCGGGCTGCCTGCGACCAGCGACCGCGTGACGACTATCATGTCGCTCACCCAGTCCTTGAGCTTTAGGAACCGCGGCGCGATACACATCTCCACCTCTAGCAGCACGATGGTAGACGGATGTCCAACACTTACTGCTATCTCTAACAACTTGCATAGCGAGACGCCGTCATACAATTTCTCCAGGTCCGGCAGCATCGGGAGAAAGTGCTTGCCGTTGGCGAAGCCAACTTCGTCTAAGAGCGATCTCAGCATGGCCGCTCTTAAAGCCGATGATCCTTGGAGTACCGCGCCCCAGAACGCACCGAGCCCATTCGACAAGTCCGCCGCTGGGCCCGAACGGGCCTGGCTCCATACCTTTCCCGCCGTCGGCAAGAGACCTAGCACTCTGTCACCCCCACGCGGCTTTGCGCAGAGCGCTCCAACGGTGGCGTGCAGATGCCTGGGCCACGCACCTGCTTGCTCGATGTCATGGAGAGGTTCCACCAGCTTGCACCTTCCCTCTGTCGGCAATCTGGCAATGTCGTGGACGCTGATGTTGTCCACCCCTTTGGCCTTGAGAGGAGGAGGAGGAGGAGGAGGAGGAGGAGGAGGAGGAGGAGGAGGAGGAGGAGGAGAAGGCGGATGAGGAGGAGGATGATGATGAGGAGGAGGAAGAGGCGGAGAAGAGGGGAAGAGGAGGAGGAGGAGGAGGCGGAGGAGGAGGAGGAGGGGAGGGAGGGAGGAGGGAGGGAGGGAGGGAGGGAGGGAGGGAGGAGGGAGGGAGGAGGGAGGGAGGGAGGAGGAGGAGGAGGAGGAGGAGGAGGAGGAGGAGGAGGAGGAGGAGGGAGGAGAGAGGAGAGAGGAGAGAGGAGAGAGGAGAGAGGAGAGAGGAGACAGGAGAGAGGCGAGAGGAGAGGGGAGAGGGGGCCCGATCGGCCGACCCGATCTGCCCCGCCCCCCCCCGACGCGTCCTGCGTCCCGGGCCCCGGCGAGCTGCCGGAACAGCGCGGCCACGCGGGGGACCCCGGCCTCGCGGCCCTGCCGAACATCCGGCCCGTGGCCGGCGGCGAGCACGCGGCCTCGTGGATCAAGGAGACTATTCCAGGCTCGCAGGTTCGAGGCTCCAAGTTTCGAGGCTCGAAGGTTCGAGGCTCGAAGGCCTTGGGCGTTCTTCGCGCATTCTGGACCTCTGGGGGGCTTCTCGTCGCCATGGCTGGCTCCGCTGGGGAGTTCGGGTCAGAGCGCGCCTCGGAACAGGCCTGGGAGTCGCCACTGGACTCGGACGTGCTCGCGTCGCGAAACAATATCGTCGCGAGGTTTTTGTCTTTTGTTCGGCCTCCAGGGCCCTCGACTAACCCTGGGACCGTAAACAAAACAGCTCAGGATGCAAAGCCGGCCCTGGGGAGAGGCTCGGGACTTCCACTGGCCCCGCATCGAAAAATTGAACCATCGCGTGTGCGGGTCTTTCTTTCTGAGGCTGCGCCCCCCTTTTCCTCCCCCATCTCTGATTAATTCAAGCTTCGCGCGGCCCGCTTAGCTTCGACCAGAAGATGTGCGCTCTCGACCCGCGGATCAAAAAGTGTGCGGGTCTTTCTACACTGGCGGCGTGCATGAGGGAGGACTACTCTGGCTGGGGCAGTAATCGCCCCCCCCCCCCCCCCCTGGATCTGCTGGGGGGATTGCGCACGTGCTGTCGGAATGGGTGGAGGGGGGGCTGGAGGAAGAGGAGGAGGATCAGGAGGGGGAGGAGGATGGAGGGCGGCGGGATTAGGCAGGCCCAGTCATAAGGTTGATCCTCCCCCCTTGATAAGTCACCCATCCAGGGTAGGGTGTGTCGATATCATGGCCGGGGCCGGGAGATTTCCCTGATCTCATGGCCACGCCTCTTCATTCCCTCCGTCGCCTCCCTCGGCCGCGCACGCGACTCGGGCCGTGACGCGCTAACACCCCTCTCCCTGGCCTCCTGGATGCGGGAGACCGGCGACGTATCGCCTCCTGGATAAAAGGAAACCAGCTTTGACGACGACGCCTTCGGGGGCAACGGGGGGGGGATAGGCGTAGGGGGGATGTATGGACCCCCAATCGCCCATTGATCGCCGACAGGGGCCCGATAGCCCCAACCTGCCCAGGAAGGTGCGGATTCACTATCGGAAGTCTACCGCCGATGTATCGGCGATGTATCGCCGATTCCAGGTCGATGCATCCCCACCCATACCAGTCCCCCCCCTATCGTTGCCCCTCACGGCTCTAGCATGCGAGCGGGGTACACGACGCAGACCTCCTCTGCGTCGTGAACAAAAGCGCGACGGGTGCCTCCTTGGGATGGTTCCCGCATGTTCGGCGTCTGGGGCCCTCGCCCGGCTCCTGGACCGTAGCAACAGCAATTTGGGATGCAACGTCAGTCTCGGGGAAGGGGTCCAGACCTCCAGCCGTCCACGTTGTGAAAACGTCACGACGCCGCATGTCTGGCCAAGTGACTGCGCGGCAGGTTCGCTTCGCGTCCTCGCGGCGGCGACGCCAGCGCGCGCGTTCAAGGTTGCACGCAGAATCGGCCAGATCTGGCGAGCGAAAGGTCTCCGATCGTTCAAAAAAAACGATCCACGTGGTGCCAGAAATCAACGCTGAAGTCGTCACGAGACGAAATGGCCGAGCGCGCGGGTTGGGGAGGGGGTCAGGGCACGCAGCACGGGCAGGGGCCGCAGCCATTCACCCCGCCGGCTGGAGCCCCAGATAAGCCATGGCCAAACGACGGCGACGGCGACGGCGGCAACGACGACCTCAGGCGTGCTAGCGTCTTCTTGGATTTCGGCCCCTGGGGGCTGTCTGTTTACGGGACCATCAGATCGGGGATGAAAAACTTCCGGAGGGAACAAAAACTCACAGACACAATTCATCGTCGATCCCCCGGAAAAGATCGGAAACTAAGGGAGGTGGGGGGGGGGAAGACAGAAACCCAGAAAATATAGGAAAATATTGAAACATATGGGGAAATATGGGAAGATATAGGAGAATATGGGAAGATATGGGAAAATATAAGAACAGATAGGAAAAGATAGGACAATATGAGAAAATATGGAAAATTATTTGTGTGTCCCCAGGGCCCCTTCAGGACTCTCCCCTGGGAAGTGGCCCGGAACGCTGGGGCCGCGGACTGGAACAAAACGTCTCAGCGCGTTGAGAGGCACCGGCCAGCGGCGGCGACAGCGACGGCGCTCCAGACAGAGCACCGCCTCCGAGGGGTCGAGAGGCTGGCTGCTCTATCTTCAAGTCGGGCCTGTCCCTCTGCAAGGGGGAATATTCAGAAATAGCAAAAAGGTACTCTGGGGACTACTTTTTAGTATTTTTTTGTTGTTCGTCGAAGATCCCCCTGTAGGGGGACACGCCCGACTTAACTCTATCTCTCTCTCTCTCTCTTTTCCTTCGGCGGAAGGCCGGCAGAAGGAACACGGGGGCGGCTCCGTCAGCGGAAGCTCGGCGGAAGGCGGCGAACGCAGCAGCAGATGACATCGGTTCTGTTGCAGGAGGGGGGAAAGCACACACACAGAGTGACAGTGAATCGCCGACTCCCAGGAAGAGATGGGAAAATATGGGAAGTGGGGGGGGGGAAGACGAGAGTCCAGAACAACTGGAAGAATAGGGGAATCCTGGGAGTTGTGTGTGTGTGTGTGTGTTGATTTGTGTCCTCGGGCCCCTTGACCGTTCCGGGGCCTCCTGGAGCGGGCCGGGGCGCCTGCCTGCTGCAGGGTTTTTGGGGGGGTGCTCCGGGGGCTCGCGCCCTCGCGGCTGGTCGCAGCTCGGGGAGGCTTGTCGGCCTCGCGCAGAAGGGGGCGTGGAAGGGCGCAGGAGGGGGGGGTTGGGGGAGGGGGAAGGCTTCTTAATCTTAGAATTGTGGAGGACGATCAATGGAGAGGAAACATGTCGCCAAATACTTTCCAGATGTCTAGATTTTTCAGGCATGTCAAACATTTTCAAGACATTGTCGACTTTCTGAACACATTTTTAATTCGATGATGGGACTGTTAGGGTGTCCATTGTCGTGGCATCCTCAATCTTAGAAGCACGCCTGCTTCTCAGAAGGCGCGGGCCTTGTCTGCAGATGCAGGGCCGGCGCCCTCTGAGAAGCAGGCTCCCGCTCTGAGAAGCCTTGCCCAGTCCACAGGAAACCTTCCACAAGAGACCCAACCCCGAGACACCAGGGCGTCCATGGCTTTTGGGTGTGGGAAGGTCGCGCTTCCCGTGGCAAACGCATCGAGACAAAAAAAAGCAGGGCACCCTGGAGGCAAGCAGGGTGTTTCTTGGCATGGGCCTCCACTGTACCTCCCTCTGCGCGCCGCCACGCTTGGCCGCCCGGGGGGCTGGTTCCGAGTGGGCCTCGGCCGGGGGCGGGGCCCCGGGGGAGGGGGACGACGGCCTTCCGGAGGAGGGGCCACGCCTCGCCCTGCGCGCCGGGGAGGAGGGTCCTCCTTCTCCTCCTCCTCCTCCTCCTCCCTCCCGCCCTCCCTCCCTTCCTTCCCTTCCTCCCTCCTTCCCATCTCCCTCCTTCCCTCCCTGCCTCCCTCCCTCCCTCCCTCCCAGCGCGGATGTAAGAAGTCTGCGAGGAGCTCAGAAAGTTTCTGTTTGTGCCGCTTGTGGTCCCTCTAGAGTCAAGAGGAGAACCTCGACGCCTACTTCCGCAGGCGCGAGGGCCTCGAGTACCGCTCCAGGGCGGCCTGGGCCCTGAGGGAGATGGACGACAAGTTCTCCTTCCTGAGGCCAGACACGGTGGTCGTGGACCTCGGGTGCTTCTCGGGAGGCTGGTCGCAGGTGTGCGTCGAGAGGACGCTGCCGTCCAGCAGTTCCTCCATGGTCATCGGGGTGGACAAGGTCCGCATGGACCCCCTCGACGGGCACACGTTCATCCAGGGCGACGTCGCGGCGGAGGACACGCTGCAGGCGCTGCAGGCGGCACTGGGGGACCGGCGCGCGGACGTCGTCCTCTCGGACCTGGCGCCCGCGCTGGTGGGGCTCAAGTACGAGGACCACATGGCCAGCATGCAGTGCTGCCTGTATGCGGCCAGGATCATGGAGAAGGTCTTGCGGCTCGGGGGCTGGTTCATGCCCCCTCTCCCTCGCCCGCCCTCCTCCCTCCCCAACCCCTCCTTCCCCTCCCCCTCCTGGGCCGTCCTGGGGCTCTCTTGGGGGCCTCCCGCGCCGTCGTGGGGAGATCTTGGGGGCCTCTCGGGTCGTCTTGGGGGCCCTGGCGCTCGAAAGCGCGAGTACGCCAACTCCTCTCAACATCCTAATGGTAATTTATTGTTGTTTGTGTCACTGGGGGGCCCTCTTGGGGGCCCTCTAGGGGCTCCCTTGAGCGTCTGGAGCGCATCTTGGAAGTCTTGCGGCGCTGCTGGGAGGACTCGGGGCCCTCTTGGACCGTCCCGTGGGCCTCTTGGGACTCAGGAGTCCTCCGAGACGCCCCGGGGAACTCTGCAAGTTGGGTGCCCGGGCTCTGCAGTTAGAGCTGCGAGAAGTCCCAGGGGTCCGGCGAGGAGCCCCGGGAGCTCTGTGCACCCTTGCATTCTGGAAGTTAGAACAGTCAAGAGAATGAGCTCGAAGGAATCCGAGGACACTCCTCTGAGTGCCTAGCGGCAGGGTGTCGGAGATGGAGCAGTTCCACGGATGTAGGTTGTTTTTTTTCAAGGCTTCTTTAAACAAAATCGTTGTTTTTTATAGCTTCTTTTTTAAAGTCAGCCTCTCGCTTGAGGATTCCTCAGCTGTTCCGCCAGACGTTCTACATGCTCCACGACAGGCTACACCGATGGAGAGCCGCTCCTTTTCGAGACGTGTTCCCTGTCTGCGGACACTTCCTGGTATGATATGTGTGATCATACCTGCTCGCATTCCTAAAGTTTGGAGCGATCGAGGGCAACTCTTTTGCATAACGTTTCCTTCGTCGTATAGATCATATTGATATGTTCATGGGGTACTCGTCTTTCGTGGGGGCGCCTCCCGTAGTTGGAAGAAATGCTGGCAGGGACTTCTGAGGAGGTAACTTGGGTCGGAAGTGTGTATTGGAGCTTCACATCCTGGGTTTAGTATGGGCCTCCTCCTCGTCTTCCCCTTCCTCCTCCTCCTTTTCCTCCTCCTCCTCCTCCTTCACCTCCCCCTCTAGAGGTGCCTGAAGGCCTTTGGGGGCCTCTGGAGGATCACAAGTGGTAAGCCACATCCCAAAACCGCGATCCTCAATTCTCCTCAACTTCTCGCGCTCATTCTCAACATTCCTCCTCGCTGCCCTTCCTTGCATTCCTCCTCGTCCTCCCCCTCCAGGTTCGTGGTGAAGCTGCAGTGGGGCCCAGAACCGTGGTCGCTCCAACCACCTAATAGGCTCTGGAGGTGGGATGAGGAGGAGGAGGAGGAGGAGGAGGAGGAGGAGGAGGAGGAGGAGGAGGAGGGACGAGGAGGAGGAGGCGGACGAGGTGGAGGAGGTGAGGAGGAAGAGGTGGATGATGATGATGATGATGATGATGATGATGATGATGATGATGATGATGATGATGATGATGATGCTGATGATGATGATGATGATGATGATGATGA